GGTAGGGAGTTAGTGCGCGGCAGTCCGCCGCGCAGGAGACGTAGCACAGGTTCCGCGGAGTGTAGTGTAGCGTGGTTCCGTGCAGGCGTGTAGCGTAGTGCAGTGTAGTGTTAGGTAGGACTTAGAAGGTATAAAATAGTTCCAGGCGTTTTGCCTGGGGTTCTTTCACATCAGAAGTGCAGATCAGGAACCCATTTCCTTTGCGTGTTTGTGTCCTTGAGTTCTGTCACCACGCACGAGGAGTTACAACTTAGCGTTCCGCATTTTGTAGCTGAAGGCCTTCGGCCGAATGTTCAGAGCTAGTACATTGGTTAGAGACTTGAGTAGTTCGGATCTGTACCTGCGGGTGACTGCCGATGCTCAGAGCCAGTGATTAGTTAGATACTTGAACAGTTTCGCCCCTACACCTTCGAGTGTTTCTTTCTGATTGTACTCCCTTGGGATTTTTCCCCTGAATGCCAAAGTGAAGTTTTGCTACTTCGTGTAAGCCTTGGTTGTAAATTCAGGTTACGCTGCAGCAGGTGCCTTGAGGGTAACCCCTGTAGTAGTTCTGGGAATGACAAGTGCCTGAGAATTCAAACTCTTCAATAGACTGTTGTTGTGTTACTGGAATGTTTCTCAGTGAGTCCTTCAGTGCGGACCTGTGTTCTCTGCGCGTTTTGTGAGTTGAGAGTGTTGTTCACCGCGTCTGAGTGACTTCGATCCGAAGTAGGCAGTCCAAACCGGGTTTCCTACACTAGCAGCAAGCTAATGGAAGTGTTGTAAAAGCCGGAGTTGGAAGTCACTACCCGCAGCTTCGCAGAGTGTACTCTTGAGAGACTTTCCCCTGAAATCTTGAAGTAGAGGTCCTAACGGATCTCTGGGTTGTGTTTCTGTAGTTTCAGGTGTGTGTGTGTGTTACGCTGCACTGTGCGACCTCCGAGTGCGCTCCGAGTGGACACTTGCAGTATTTCTGGGAGTGACAGTCACCTGAGAATTCAAACTCCTCAATAGTCTGTTAAAACGTGACACTTTGTACCCTGTGTGTTCCTCTGTCCCTGTGGGTTCGACCTTTCTACCACTATATTGCAGTTTTAGCCTTTAGTGGGTTATTACAAATCATCACTCTAGAGTTTTCCTATCCAGGTCCACTGTATTGGAGCATTGCACCACGTATTGGATATATACCAGATATTGTCCGTAAACACTTGCTTGTATAAAAAAACTCATCAGTTCAAGCTTACAAAGATACGCACTTCCAGTAAGGAAGACATAAGCAAATCGAGCAAATCCTGAGATGTCCCAGGGTGGAAAGAAAGGAAAAAAATAAGCACATTGAGTCCATTAAGCTACTAGTCCTGATATATGACGAGGACTATAGATTGAAGTTAAAAGCCACAATTTCGCCTGCACCCGTTGCATACATAAAGCGGAGAAGACTCTCAGACGTACGAGACGGTTGAGAGATTCTCAGTTGAACTCTACCGCCACTCCATCAAAATCAACTTCCTCCTTGTGGCCTCCGGGAACAACAGTCTACAACAGACTCGCTCCGATTCTTTGATTCCCAAGGCTTTCAGATTAGCTCCTATGCTCAATCGGAAGTCAACTTTTCGATTATGTCCCATACCATGGCTTTCCTGTCAGATAAACCTTAGCTTTCGGTGGAAAGTCAACATTCCGATTATGTCCCACACCATGGCTTTACTGTCAGATAAACCCTTAGCTTTCGATCATTTCCAGGAGTACTTTGTGATTCACAGGACGGTCGAGTGAGGCGCTACGAGATTTGCCATGCACATCACCACCTTGCCGCACTGTATCCTTGCTTAAAAATACACAGCTGGACCTGCAGCGAGCCAGAGCGCCCGCTTGTCAATTTGAGTGCCCGGCACGTTTTGCTAATCGACCATTCTGATGTCCAAACGTGTTGCCTTCATGCCGACAAAAGTCCCGAACGCATAGTATATAATGAATGAGGAGTGGAGAATCAGGCCGCAGCTTCTACGCAGAACCTGCCTGTGTCAGTGACGACCTCTTCTAGCTGTAAGTGAGGAGGATTGGAGGTAGAAAGAGTCGGAGTTAAGTCCGAGAACGGTGACAGTGGCTTTCTGTACTGATGAGTATTGAATTCTATATAATATGTGTTTTCGTGCTCTGGTACGAGTTCTTAAACCTGTCTACCCTTCTGCTTCTGCTTCCCAAAAAGTAGTTTGCATAATGATGGGGATCCGGATCACTAACACGAGAGCATGCGTCTCATACGGATTAGACGCAGACGTGAATGGCAGGCTTGCACAGATTTCGAGTCAGTGTGATAGTATTCATATATTTTATCGAATCCGATACTCATCAATACAGAAAGACCACCGATTTCTCGGACTTAGAGCCCACTCATTCTACCTCCAAGCTTCTTCGCAGTAGCTCACTTACAGCTAGAAAAGGTCGTCACTCTTCGCAGTAGCTCAATTACAACTAGAGGAGGTCACTTTTCGCAGCAGCTCACTTACATCTAGAAGAGTTCGTCACTGAAACTGGCAGGTTCTGCATAAACGTAGAAGCTGCTTCCTGATTCTCCCCTCCTCACTCTATCATGCAAGCTCCTTGGCCTCTATATGTATAAGCGTCCGGACTTCTGTAGGCATGAAGGCGACAGGTTTCGACATCAGAATGGTCGATCAGCAAAATGTGCCAGGCCCTCAAAATGACAAGCCGGCGCTCCGGGCTCGCTGCTAAGAAACATAATTACTATAAGACTAAGAAAAATAATAAACCGGATTGGATATATGCCAAAAGGAACATTGTTAAAAAATATAGTGTTGTATCTCGGTTGCAAAGACTTGAACTCCACTTGATATATTTTATAAATCCGAATGAAAATTGAGCATAACGATGAAGCAAGTATGCAAACTGCCAGATTCCAATCCAATAAATCATAATTAACAAGAATCATTCTATTGACTTACTTTTTGAGAGGGAGGATAAAGCAAGGACCAAAAATAAAAAAAGTATGCAAAATGTCAATGCAGTGAATACTGAGACAGGAAACATAACTAACAATTATGGCTGTGACAAATCAACCCGTTTTCCTGCCCCTAGCATGTTGCTCAGCTATAAGAAAACCTAAAGTAAACACGGATTCAAGAATGCAATCTCATACGCAGGGTTGAGGGTCGATTAAGTTGTGCATTATGAGAGAAGATATTGCATTCAACACTCATATGTACACTCAACGCACATCTCATGTCCAGCAGATGTAACGTAATGCTAAACCATGAACGCTTGAAGATATGAAGAAATGAAAACAACATTCAAGGTACTCGATATTTCACAGCCAGCCTTAAGTAATATCAAATCATGCGTCATCTCTTCTGCTCCGTACCTCCCCATTTGGAAGAGAAGTACGATCATTTTCAGCGAAAGAAGCACAATACTTTCTTTTTGAGAGAGATTTGAAGATACAGCAGCTCCTTCTGAAACAGGAACTTCAGAAGGAGCCTCACGCATTATATGCAACACGTGGCCATACGCATCAACTCTCATATATTCCAGTCTTGTCGGTGGAAGATAACACTAAGCTCCGTATTGCCACATAGTATCCTGATGAAACATTATCGATCTGAGACATGCAGGAACCCCAATATTAAAGTATAACACCAATATATGACGTTGAGGATACATGAAACGTCTTGCAGCATCGCATCCCACACAAATGTCGCTCGCTATCAAACCGAGTCGTTCTGTTCGGGACTGTCCCTATTAATCATCACTCCGGTCCCGAAGACCAACGCAATAAGACCAGAGTCTTGTCGCGTTATTCCATGCTGGTGTATTCAGAGCGTATGGCTTGCTTTGAGCACTCTAAATATTTCAGAGTAGCATCGCCGACTCCGCGACAGGACCAGAAAGGGGCCGCCAGTGCACACCAAAAGAGGCGGACCGCCGATCCCTCCCAAGATCAAACTACGAGCATTTTAAAGTGCAACAACTTAAATATACGATGTGGGAACTGGGATTACCTTGGCTACTGGCACCAGACTTGATCTCCAATGGATCCTCGTTATGGGATTTACATTGTATTCATTCTAATCATTGTCCCAGTAATCTTATTTAATGTCACTACCTCTCACCGTGTCGGGATTGGGTAATTTGCGCACCTGCTGCCTTCTTCGGATGTGTCTCCCTCTTCGGGAATTTGAGTGAAAGAAACTAACGTGCGATTCATCGAGTAATAATGATTGACGAAACACTGGAGCAAGCCCCGTATTGGTATTCTTTCTGAAAAAACAACCTTGGTGCACGTATTAGTTCTAGAATTAGAAAGATTATCCCAGTAGTAAAGTACCATTAAAGAAACTATAACTTATTGAATGAGCCGTTCGTAGTTTCACGCAACAAAAGTTGACTGTGCAGTATATACGAACAGAACAAAAACGTTCAATTCTTTCCGAAAATGGAGACATGACACCTCGGGAACTTCCCTCTCTTTCCTATAATATCATCTTTTATTCGGAGGCATCATATATCACCAATATAAGAGTGTTCATATCCAAGTCGACGATATTGGTGCCTTGCACCACGGATGAACAGAATTTGACCACAATAGGCTTAGAGAGACTCATCGGATGGAAAATTTAGACTTTTTTTAGTGAAGTGTTGAATGAGTGTGCTAAAACTGGTGCATTGCAGTATGTACTCCATCTTAACCGTCAATCCTTAGTGAGTACCGATGAGTACAGTTTATTACAACTCTTGAATCCAGCAAAGATCGGTTCAGGCATTTAGCAATATTAAATCTGTAAATAAAAGCCTCTCCTGCTTTTATGGTGTCGAGAGTAACAAAGATGGTGGGAATAGAAGGTTCCTCCCACTATGCATTCGTTGGTTTATTTATACACATATATAAGTGGATATCCCTAAAATGGCATGTTTGTGTAAAAGTCTTCCAAAAAAGGTTGCGCAATTTCATGCATAATATGTGACTAGGTGAAAATTTTCAATCCCCAGTAACACTGAGTTAGATCGATATAGATGAGATCAGACAAAAGAAGGCAAGATCGACAGAACACTAGGATAACTGATGAGATACCTCGAGGAGGGAAGAATACAGAGATAGTGGATATTCTAAGAAAGTCTAGACACGTGTGCGGCAACACGAGATTGGAATAGACTCGTGAGGATGGTCTTTTAGATGCGAGGTAATACAAGTCTTCTTAATCTGAACGAAAATTCCAGGCAGTCTGCATTGGGAAATATTAGCAAATCCTGAGAGATCCGAGGGTGAAAAGAAAGGAAATCAAGAACCACATTGAGTCCATTAAGCTACTAGTCGTGATATATGACGAGGACTAGAGATTGAACTTAAAGAACAATCGTGCCTGCAGCCGTGGCAAACATATATCGGAGAAGACTCTCAAACGTGCGAGTTGGTTGAGAGATTCTCAGTTCCACTCTACCGCCACTCCATCAAAATCAACATCCTCCGAGAGGGTTCCGGGCACAAAAGTCACAGAGACTCGCTCGTTTCTTTCGATTCCCAAGGCTTTCACACAAGCTCCTATGCTGATTCGGAAGTCAACTTTCCGTTTATGTCTCTTCCCATGGCTTCCCGAGTGAGGAATGTGCGCGATCACACCCACAAAATTCTCAACTCCCAACGGGGTACAGACACCGGCTTCGAGCAAGTTGATGTATACCTTGAAATGCAAGACCGAGTGCCTCGGCACCTGCACACCTAATATTACCAAAGTTTCCTCAAGTTCGTCCCCAGGGCTCGGAGTAGGCTCTATCCTTGAGAGCGGAACCGATACGGACACGCCCTTCTTGAGAACTGTGTCCGGCCCCAACTTGTCAATCTCTCCCGGACTGGGTTTCTCATAACCGGACGGCTTAAACTTGTAGTTGATCCAATCCTGGTCGCTGTCCAACGCCTCGTACTTGTAGCACAGACGATCGGTGTGGAGAGTTTGGCTAATCTTCACGTTCACGAGCTCCTTCTTGTGATTATAGAAGGCGAACTGGGTATCGAGGAAATCAGAATCAGTCGGATCCTCTCGCTTTCTCGAGCCTCTCCGAGTCGAGGGATCGATCTTGAGACTCTTCCACACAGTCCACAGTCTGTCCACGTTCGCATGGTGACTGTAGAAGATGGGATCTTTTGCTGTGAACAAGAATGTCCCCATATCTGAATTATTAGGGTGAATTTTCAAGTAATTGGAACCCGTCCAAGAGTGGATGATGTTGTGCCCGTTCTCCTCGATACTCCCCGGACCATTTGTGTCTTCAGTTTGCCCCGCCCTGTAAGGCTTCCCCAGAAAATTGGTGCTCGATACCGAGGAGACCACCGCACGGTGCATGAAAGCCAAGTTGCTGTCGTAGACAATGCCCATGTCCTCGTAGTAACAGCATGGGTCCAGACGGACGACCTGCGGAGGGAAATGCTCCGGATTTCTGATCGCGTTAGACAGTTCGGAGGGTGTTGCCCCGAAGTTGAGCGGCGCGAACATCCAAGGCATCTGATTGCCGCCGTCTCCTTCTTGCTGGTTGTCCCAGTTCCAGACAGGAAGAGCGAAGCTTTTATCGCCGATCAGGTCCCCGAGAATTCTCTCGTGGAAGTAAAGATACATCCTGTGCCACGGGGCGAACGCCCAGCTATAGTGGTACTGCAGTTTGATGTCGTTCGGATTATTGGGCTCGAAGTAGGCGCCCATGCAGAAGGCACAATGGATGTGCCACTGCGCTTTGAAGCTGCGGGGGTCGTCTGGGTCGAGCCCTTTCATCAAGACGTAAGCTTGGTTGTATTTTTTGACGTATTCCTCATCTTTGGACAGAATGTGGGCCGGTTTCCGGATCCGCATCGGGAGGTCCTCGAACTTGAAGTCGATCGGAGCCTTAAGAAGATCGGGAAGACAGCAATTTTCACAGCTTTGTTCATCGGGAATTGCCTCACAGTATTTTGTGGACAAATTCGGCGGAGGGACGGGAGCCGCAATCCCGAACCCTGCGGAAGTGAGATAGGAGAACGTCCCAGTTGCGCCACACAGCAGCTGTCGTCGATGTATGAGTGCTTGTTGGATCGTCGCATCGTCTTCGCCGTCATCTCCTTCCGTCGAGTCCTCGCACGCCTCTGCTCCCGTTCTCGCGGTAGCCTTCAGCTGGCTCACACTGAGCACAAGCCTCGAAGGAGAATGCCCATGTCGCCCTCTCCTCCTGCCGATGGCGGCGCTCGAAGAATTCAGCCCACTCGGTCTCGCTCTCGGTCGCGCCATCTCCTTGGCTCTGCAATTCACATTTCCTTGCACCGTCCGTGCAGTCACTTGATTTCCTTGACTCTTGAGACCCCGAGGGTACGGACACAGCAATGGAACACTGGACGAAGCTGCTGTAGCCGCCATCTCGTCTTGTTCCAAAAAGCGAAGAGATGATCACAGCCTCGAATTCCAGTTCACCTGCAGACCGAGCAAGTTGAGAAATCTGATAAGACGTTTTGAAATCACTACGCTGACTTTTGAGATTTCTAAAATCCATTCTGCTGGAAGCATCAGGTGGAACTTATTGCTTGAACTCGACTGTGCCTAGAATAGAAGTTATTTCGGAGCACAAGTACAGAAACAGGACGGAGATTTTCTGTCGTTCTGATCAGCTTTTGATGAGGGGCTATATCCGACAAATGAAAACCGGACGACACGGGGGACTTTGATATGCATGAGAGTGGCAGAAACATGTCACAGTTTGTTGCATGCACTCTTCTCCTGATCCACATTCATACTGATGGAAAGTGCTACTTCCCTGATCTATAATACTGTCATACGTAGGCTGTAATCAGTGGCGGAAAAGAAAATATATCACTGTCGGGTCGTGATGATTACCTAGCTAAAGGGTATCACATTTTCAATGCTGGTGGCAATATGGAAATGACATGACCTCATGCAAGAGAAGAGATAATATGTCTGATAAGTATCACAAGCATAAGCAACGTAAGCAAAGCACTGGATGACAATAAGCAGATAGCAGATAAAAGAAGAATCGGCTGGAAGTGAATGTCAAACCAAGTTAGTTCCCTGGCTCAGGTCTCCATTCTCATAAACTTCTCGTTGAACTGCAGAAATTTTTCAGGGGACCTGGTCTACGTATGGTGGATACACCACTGGCCGATGTGTTAGATCAGATTGAAGTTCTCATGTAGGAGGCCGCCATATATACAGGCTGGACCGAACGGGGTCCGACTCATTTTATCAGATATGAATTTTATAAAAGCGCAGGTCAGGACCAAATAATGCAAGCATCCGTTAATTTCTCGCAAAGCATGATAACAGCAGTGGATCACAGACCGCGAGAGGAGTCAGGAGACTATACTTGACTGAAATCCCTGACGTTAAACTAAGAGAAGCAACTCTGTTGGATCCACGTTCTCAAAATCTCGAAACCTGCACCTAATATTCAGGCAAGCTTTGTGCACTGGGAGACACATGTCGCATCCACCATTGTATCAGGTTGAAGATCCACCAAGGGAAGGACGCTATATATACGTTCAGGGTGTGAGGAGCTTAATGACTGAATGTGCAAATGTTTATAATTTTCCCCTCGCCCCCACAGGAAAATATTTACTTCGCCATGCCCACTTTCGTACACAACTAGTCCAAGAAGCCAATTCAGCAAAATAATCCATCCCTTTCACCTCTCAATCTGCCAAGTCACCAAGGACATCTGATGACCAGACTCAAAAACGTGCCCTAGCGATAGATCAACGTAGCCAACCGTGACCTTGACATCGAACATGACTGCAACCGTCCCAAGGGCGTGAAAGGTGTGCTAGAGGACCTACGATGCAATAGGCAATGTGCAAGCATCCAATTAAGACTCTCCAGACCTCTCATCGTACTTTCATTCGTTGACCCGCTCCGTCCAGAGGAGGCCTTGATTGGTTGCTGGAAATATTCGTGACCGTTGGCCTTTTGCAGGCACTTCGATTTCCCCAAAACAAGAGTGAACAAAGGGATCAACTACTACAGCAGTAGAGAGCCCAAGCTCTATGCAACTTTCTAATTTGGATTGTTCGCGGATACTAGAAAAGGAAGCCAAAGTTGTTGAAGGATGATTACATCATAGAAAACGACTGATTGAAGTAATGTTGTGGCACTCGTGCCGAAAAGCGTTACTTTACATCCAGCTCCATCTGATCCAAATTCCATCGAAAAAGCAAACCTGAAAAGTGAAATCCACATCCACCCGGATAACATGGACTGGAATTAAAAAATATCCGCAACATGACAAGGGAGAGACTACCCCAACACCTTCTCGTCAGCCACCCATAAGTGCAATCCCTCACTATCTGCAAGTTTTCATACGTATAATTCACAATCTGACGAGAATGAAAAACATTCAAATGCAAGCACTGTTGATTGAAGTTTCAATTATTGTTTCACTCATCCACATGAAAGTAAACCAATATCTGACAATTAAGAGATATTTTTATATGTTGATCCATAAGTGAAGTCTTCCAGTGATGGTTCAGTAGTTTATTTTATTAATTGAATCATGCTAACCCTGGACTTGATGTTGAATGATAATTATCAGACATTATGCTCTCTTGAGTCCCACTTCGGACTTAAGAACTTCATTTCACATCACGAAGAAAAATGTCACACTAGAAGAGAGTTTCAGGATAGTCAGTTATAATTGGATAATGAGACATAAAGCTCTGTATTGGAGGCAGACGTAGTTTCAAAGTTTATATTTTAACCCGTTAGCCACCATCCTTTCTGAGATACTTCAATTAGTGAATTTTTTTTTTATTCCTACTATTTGCTCTCTATAGACTGGAGAAATTTTCACGAAGTCATGCCTCCAGATTCTAAATGATTAGCAGCTCGTGACAAAGTTAGATTTCAAAAGTGTAATTTTATGATTTAGGATTTCACACATTACGGGGGCAGTTTATGTGGACCCATCGTAGAGAAGTAGTTACTTAAGTCAACTCGTGCAGTTTGATTCACTTGAGAAAAGCACGAAGGACATGAATATTTTATCTAAAACCTCCTTCTCCTCCTGAAGAATTAAGTATGGAGTTGGGATTTAGCCAACTTGTAAATTGCAATGGTCTTTTTTTGTACTTCCTAAGAAATTGTTCCTCAAACCCTATTATTTTCTCAAACTTTGATTAGTGCTAAATATATTTGAGTTTATAACAGAAAAAGAAACATCTTCATTGTTATGTGAAACGCATCTCTTTCTTCTACATCTCACCAAGTCAAAATATTAGTGGTACACAAGTTCTTGTGCAAGGATAGTCTAGCACATATTATCCCTATGTTTCTGAATACAGTCTATCCCATCTGAGACTAGTTGGGATATAGGGGTGAGGGTCTGACCGCCTGAACCACCTGATTGAAGCCAGACTCATCCGTAGCATGCCTAGATGTTAGTACAATAAATATCTGCAGAGATGTTATATATTAAGATGTTAGTTATCTCAGCAGATATTTATAATAAAATATCTCATCAGATATTTAACATCTAGGCATCTTAAACGATGATAAGAATCTCAGCCGCCATAGTACAAGGTAGCGTGAGATAGACACAGCGAGCAGAACGTACTGATGGTGTTAAGATGGAACCGTATGCTTCACAGAATAATCGGAGTCCAGGCAAAATAGCCTCGTGTTGAGCTGAGGTAGAGTAACCCTTACTGACCGAAAGACTGACAGGTTTGACGATCACAATGTCGTTGGATCTATCAGAGTGGTGTATATCACTAGTCAGATTGGTACTTGTACGATCGATGTAACTCCTGCTTTAAAGAAAAAGAAAATTACACATTGACGTCGCAGTTTTTCTGTATCGCACAATCAATCGGCAGTGGCATACCTGGATCGATAGCTGCTTTGTGGATCTACCTACAGGGATCACTAAAATCGATGCAATTGCGTCATCAAGCATTTTTCACGTGATGAAAGGGATCGTACTAAGTTCAAGCGGGTAAATTGACCTTGATGGGGTCTACTTCCAGCATTCAGTTTCACTGGATGGAATCCCCCATAAACACCACACTATGTGACAATATGGGACAAAGCCATTGGCCCAGATTGTCACATACTTACTGCCATTCACTGACATAACAGTTCGTAGAGGAGAGGTCGTGTTCATTTCTAGAGATTTCCTCGTCATGCTTTTAGAAAGAAAAAGAGCCATGCACGTTCACCGATTACAGCTCACACTACCTTGGATCAAGAGGATAAGCACGAGTACATTCCGCTGCATTTTCTTCACGGGTCGACAACGCAGAGTCGTCAAAGCTCGGACTGTGGAAACGTCTCAAAATAGTTGACACAAATTTCGGAGTCCAGGCCAAAAAGCCTCGTTTTGAGCTGAGGTAGAGCAACCAGTAGAAACGTTCAGCTCAGTGTCATTCAGATCTATCAGAGAGGTGGATATCACTAGTCAGATTGGTGCATGTACGATCGATATAACTACTGATGTCGAGATTTTTTCTTTGTTACACAACCGATCGATTCTGGGATGCCTGGATCTCACCTAGAAGGATCAATAATTTCTATGCTCTTGCGTCATCAAGCATTTTTCACGTGATGAAAGGAATCGTGCTAAGTACAAGCGGGTGGATTGGCCTAGAGAAGGTCTACTTCGAGCATTCAGCTTCACTGGATGGAAATGGAATTGTCACATAGTTACTGCCATTCGTCAGGATAGCAGTTCCTAGAGGAGAGGTCGGTCTTCTTTTCTAGAGATTGCCTCGTCATGCCTGTATGAAGAAGAAGAGTCATGCACAAGCATGACAGGTTAACAGCGTATGCATGCACGCTCACCAACTGCAGCCGACACTATTTTGGATCAAGGGAGAAGTACGAGTACATTCCGCTGCATTTTTCACACCGGTCGACATCGCAGAGTAGTCGCAGCTCGGACTGCGGAAATGTCTCAAAATGGTCACAAATCCTTCGTGACTTGATTCTCTAGTTCTAGAACTGAAAGCCTGGTCGATTCTCCACAGATCACTCCAACATCGAATCAATTCTCCCTGCTCTCTCTCAAAACTCGTTTCCACGGAAATAACTATGAGATGAAGAACACTGGAGACAGACGGATGGATTCAATACGTTCGACATCATCAAACGCTTTGATGCGATGTGTCTCCAACCCGAAAGTGCCAAAAGGATTCATCGTGCTTAGTTCCTATTACGCGGTATTGTACGAGTACTGACGTTAGACTCTAACGTAAGTACTCGTAATAGTAAGTAAGTACTGCAAACAGTGAAGATCTCCGGGTCTGATTTTCTGGGGATTACTATTTTCGAGAAATTAATATTCAACGGTTGCAAATTTAATATTCTATATTGATTTGTAATATTTTTTTTTATGGTTTAAAAGTAATTTTATATTTTCATGTAATGTTAAAAATTGAGGAATAAGTCAATCTAAAATAATCTTATAAAAAAATAATCATTACAAAATTAATTTATTCCAAAATAGAATCTAATGATAAAAATAATATTTCACTCAAATATTAAAAAAATTAGAATGATTTTTATTCATAAATATAATGAAATTAAAATTTGGTTTAATTGCATATTTATATTTTAATAAATTGATAATATCACAAATATTCTTAACAAATACATGGATGATTGTAATATAACTACCAAAAATATTTTCAATCTTTATCTAAAAAATATAAATAATATTAATTTACAATAAATTTATTATTTATTTACCAAACACACAATGACAAGACGATATATATAATAAATTATAATTTTAATCATATTTTTCTTAAATAATAATTATTTTTTATTTTTATTTATCAAAGATAATAAAAAAATATTATTAGTTTGATTTCTATATTATTAAATTTTAATTTAAGAAATAAAAATTTACATAAACATTTATATTACAGTAATTTTTATCAAATCAACCAAACAAAAGTAAAATTATATTAGAGATATATATAATTAAAAATAATTATAATCTTTTGTAAACAATGTCTATTTATCCAATTTTTGTTATATTGTAGTGTTTCTTTCCATTTGACTATCTTAGCAACAGACTTATCATTCTTTTCTTAGCTTTTTTTCCAAAATTCTTCATTTATCAAAACAGAAATCATTAAAGAAATTGTAACAAGTATAACTATACATCAAATATTTACAAGTTAAATCATGAGATTTCATCTAAATTTATTGTATGTCAAAGTTAGATCCAAGAGGCTTGCGAGCATGACTCAAGAGTCTAGAATTTTTCCTTACATGATTCAAACATTCCTGTGCTCCCTCTTGTGAACTAATGAGGTTCTTATTGACACACATAACTTGCCAACCAGCTTTTGTGAGGCAGCATGACGGTATATAATTTCTCTAGACTATCAACTGAATGCAAAATATGAACTTTTGCTCAAGTTTGACATCCATTCGACTTTCAAGGTCATTATTACATACTCATACTTTACTATATATTGGCAAAATCAGCTATTTTGATTTTATTGTTCTGTTGTTGATGTACTGTTCTTCTTCCTTACTCAAGGTTTCAGCTGGCAGCTGTAGCTACAACTTACGAGACTTGTGGACCCATTTATGCTCTGAGGTTGAAGAAAATTCCTATACAGTTCATTTGGGAATAGGTAGTCATCTTCAAAACTTAAAGCAATAACATATTATAAGGAATATCATTTTCAATATTGCTGCTTGCAACAAGCATGTATCCAAGCTCGGCCTACAGATGAAGATGGATAGTGATTTCAGAACAACATCTTGAAGAAGACGAAAAGGAATCGACTACCTAGGTTTGCAAATTGAGAAACATCAGGATTCTCCTTGCAGAGCATTCTGCACTCAGCGAGATCTCAGTTTACGAAAGACAGTGCTACTTAATGCTAGTGCGGAATCTTTCCGCATAGCAAGTAATGCTGAAACACATTCTTGAAATCGGACTTGATGATAACAACCAAGCTCGTAAAAACTATCTCGAAGTAAGGAGATTTTATCTGGAATCACCGGGTTACATTATGCAGTTTATAAAAGAGCAACATTTGAAAATAAATTGAACTAAGTCTGCTGAATGAAGATCAGATGCATTGATAAAATGTTTCCTTTTTCAGCTAAAAAATTAAATTCTTGCTAGATAATTGATTTGAACATACGGTTATATGTTTACGCTACGTAAAAGTTATAACGCAAGCCAATTTTGGAGAGTGGACACCTTCTCACTACTTTATGTTTTTAGATGACAACTGAAACAACGAAAACTTCTGAGTAAATTTTTGAAATGTTCTGGCACCAAGTCGGCACTGACATCCAGCGAAAGTCAACCAACGATCAGTTGTTGAGCATTCAACAGAATCCAACGTCCCTTTCTTCGTTGCTATGTTCCAAAAGACAACAACCGAATAGCTTTCAAGCATAGGAATTTTATATGCTGGAACAAAATTTGAACTGGATAATGTCATCCTATATCGAAATGTTTCTGTGTTTCATGAATATCAAGAGCAGTGCAGGGACTTGCTCCCTCGTCATCGATCTGTACTGCTCACGCTAACTTATGTAGTCAATAGCATGGACTGAGGATAAGAACAACAAGTTTTAGCCACTGATAGAAACCTTTTGGCATATAGAGGTCTCATTACGGTTACAGCGTCTTTTTACTAGAAAAATAAATCAAATCAGATGAATGGAATAAATAGACATTACATTACATTTCCAGGATCATGATCATATCATCCACAATTTGACTTCAAGATCATGAGATATAGAAAACTTATCACCAGAGTAGAAGAAAATGATCAGCAAGTACATCTAGATGACATTATAATGAAGACTGTCATTCCTCAATACTGCCATAAGTAGGTTCATATCACGCAGATAGTCATACTTGTGACTTGATGGTAGATTCAAGGCTGACTCAAAGAACACGTAATTGCATATTCTCTATGTTTCTTGAAAGTGATATTTCAATACCTAACTTGACAAGGTTTTCATTAGCTGGATATCTGGGTACAACTAGATAGCAAAGCACTGCTTGCATTCTGCAGATCTGCACCCATATACACATACACGTGTTGTTTTGCTGAAAGGTTACAAACACACACAACAAAAGTGATATCTTATCTAATAGTGGCCTCTGTCTCAGAAAAGTTAAGGATCAGCTCACGCTATACACTTCATGAGGTGAAGAATCATCATATTTCAAGGTGGTGTGTGATAGAAAGAGTCCAGCAAGTGCTGATTATAATTTTCTTAAACAAAGAGTTTTATAAGTCTTGCATTGTAAGTGTAGACTATGTGCTCCAGGGTGCTCATGGCATTGTACACGAAACCCCTCTAGCTTCTTCTAAAATGCTTACAATGTACTTCCTATGATACCTATAAATAATATTAAATAATAAAAGAGAAACTTGATCGCTATATTCTTTGCAGACTATAGATGTAAAAACCTATGTCAGAATCTCATCACCTTCCTCTCTATTAAGATAAAACTCCAGTTAAAGAGTAATCTGAAAGAATGCAGCATGTGCTTTCCCGTGATAAGGATAGTTTTCAACTATCAAGTTCTAGAAATGCATCATATTCCAGCTCTGGTCAAGAATCTTTGACCAAACACTTCTAGCCATTCCGCCATGCACTTAAGGCATCAATGAACAAGAACCTCTTCCCGAACCAGAAACTTCTCTACTCTTTGACCTCGTTCGTCACTGTCATTTGATAGGACTACGTTTGTGAAGGTAGTCTACAAGCTTGATACGGTTTATTGATTTTGTTGACTTCTGTTGCTGCTGCGTTATTTTTCACAACATCATCTTTTGCACTTTCTTGTGCAACCAAATATTCATCATTATCTATACAAGTAGCACCTTCCAACTGATAATGTCTGGTTTCAAATGTTAGAGGCCAATCTTGGCTTTCGTAAGATTGAGGTTGAAAAGTCATATCATCAACGGGCACAATCTCTGTCGTATCCATTGCATCCTCACCATAAGAGAGATTTGAATCAGAGTTATCAACCCAGTGCCAAAATCTCATGTCACCAACATTTGCACGAGCATAAATTTGAGAATAGTAACCTGAATCTCCATCATCAATCTCCTGCGTGGATTTGATGGATATGGAAGAAGTCTTTGCATCTGATATGTTCCTTGAAAGAATTCCTGGAGATCTTCTATTTGTTTTAAATCGTTTGAGAAACTGCCTGGTCTGCAAGTAGGGATTGATTCCAAGATTTTTCTTGAAAGAATCCTTGAGAACCATTGTAACCCGTGCAATACTTTTGGCTAGGATGTTCGAAAGCAACATGAAAGCTAATTACACATACTCACCTATGAAACCAAACAAAGAGAGAAGAACTGAAGAACAATTGAAACTTATGACGAACATACGATGTAGTGACAGCACCACAACAACAAAAACAACAACGAAAGCAGATTGTGGAAAACTTTGAACAAATCATTCAATTGTGATCACTAAATACAATCTATGCATGCACGTACGCATTACATTTCACGTTACGGTAGTAAATGTTAGAATTTGAAATTTAAAACAAGTTACACAGTACATTAAACAGTCTTAGAGCTTGAAACTTGAAACAAGTATGCGTGAAATCTCCTACTCGTTGATTTGCATGCAAAAAATAATACTATGTTGAATACAGCTAACACCATAATTTTATTGAGTTTAAAAAGAGTCAATGTTTCAATATATTAATATTATCCACTTTTGCGCGTAAGAAAAGCTTAAACTCATCACTTAAATATCATACTCTTATCTTGTATAACTAAAGTTCAAGTTTGTATCATATATACATCAAGTTCAGAAGTTTTATTGTTTCAGAATAAAAGCTTTATCAATTTGGTTTTAATAATAGATTCAATGAAATATTTATGAATATTAGTAAAATTATGTAAAGAATGAAACTGAAGGTGACATGAAACAATGAACATAATTTGATATGTATCTAGAAGAAGATAACTGCCAAATGAAAAGTTTCACAAAGGTTGCTCAATTTCATTTATAATATGTGACTAGGTGCTTACTTGGATGTCACAGTAACACTGAGATAGATCAATTTAGATATACTCAGACAAAAGCTCGCAAGATTGACCTAAAACTAAGAATAACTGTTGAGATACCTGTAAGATAGAAGTATAGTGATATAGTGGTATTAAGTAAAAATTCTAGGCACAAGTGAGGCACCACAGGACTGGAATAGACTCGAGATGATGGTACTTTAAAGGCGAGGGAATACACGTCTTCTTAATATGAACGAAAATCACACGCAGTCTGCATTGGGACATCTTAGCAAATCCTGAGATGTCCCAGGGTAACAAGAAAGGAAAAAGAGAACCACATTGAGTCCATTAAGCTACATGTCCTCCTGATATATGAGGAAGACTACAGATTGAAGTTACAAAATAGTTTCGCCTGCAGCCGTGGCATACATAAATTGAAGAAGCCTCTCAGAAGTGCGAATCGGTTTAGAGATTCTCAGTTAAACTCTACATCCACTCCATCAAACTCAACATCGTCCTCCTGGCCTCCGGGCACAAAAGTCACAGAGACTTGCTCCAGATCCTTGATTCCCAAGGCTTTCAGACTAGCTCCTATGCTCAGTCGGAAGTCAACTTTCCGATTATGTCCTAAACCATGGCTTGCCTTATGAGGAACGTGGGTGATCACACCCACAAAATTATAAATTCCCAACGGGGTACTGACTCCGGCATCGGGCAAGTTGATGAAAACCTTGTATAGCATGAACGAGTTCTTGGGCACCTGCACACCTTTTACAACCAAAGTTTCCTCGAGATCTTCTGCCGACCGTCCTTGGCTCGGAGTAGGCTCGATCCGTGTGAGCGCAAACGATACGGACTTGTCCTTCTTGAGAACTTTGTCCGTCACCAACCGGGCTATTTCTTCCGGACTGGGCTTCTCCTGACCCGAGTCAGCGAACGTGTAATTGATCCAATCCTGGTCGCTGTCCAATGCCTGGTACTTGTAGCGCAGACGTTCGGTGTCGAGAGTTTGGCTGATCTTCACGTGCACGAGCTGCTTTTTGTGATTATAGAAGGCGAACTGGGTATTGAGGAAATCAGGATCAGTCGGATCCTCTCGCTTTCTCGAGCCTCTACGAGTCGATTGATCGATCTGGAGAATCTTCCACACAGTCCACATTCTGTCCACGTTCGAATGATGACTGTAAAAGATGGGATCTCTGGCTGCGTACAAGAATGTCCCCATATCTTCATGGTCGGGCCGCAATTTCAAGTAATTGGAACCCGTCCAAACGTGGACGATGTTGTGCCCGTTCACCTCGATACTCCCCGGACCAGCTGTGTCTGCAGCTTGCCCCGCCCTGTAAGGCTTCCCCAGAAAATCGGTGCTGGACACCGGCGTGACCACCGCCCGGTGCATCAGAGCCAAGTTGCTATCGAAGACCGTGCCCATGTCGTCGTAGTAATTGCCTCGGTCCAGACGGACGTGTTCCGGAGGGAAATGCTCCGGATTCCTGATCGCCTTTGACAGTTCGGAATCCTGCGGATTCATGGACAGCGGTTTTCCGAAGTAGAACGGCGCGAACATCCGAGGCATCTGATTGCCGCCGTCAGCGTCTCGCTGGTTGTCCCAGTTCCAGACAGGAAGAGCGAATTCAGGATCGCCGATAAGGTCCCCGAGAATCCTCTCGTGGAAGTAAAGATACATCCTGTGCCAAGGGAGGAACGTCCAGCTCCCGTGGTACTGCAGTTTGAGGTTGTTCGGATTATTGGGCTCGAGGTAGGCGCCCTCGCAGAAAGCGCAATGGATATGCCACTGCGCTGCGAAGCTGCGGGGGTCGTCATCCGGGAGCTGTTTCATCAAGACGTAAGCTTGGTTGTATTTTTTGACGTATTCCTCATCTTTGGACAGAATGTGGGCCGGTTGCCGGATCCGCATCGGGAGGTCGGCCTCGAATTCAAAGTCGATCGGAGTCAGTTGACTGCCATCGGGGAGACAGCAGTTCAACTTTTGTTGCTGATCGGGAACTTCCTGACAGCTTTCGGGGGACAAATTCGCCGGAGGTACGGGCGCCGCGAGCCCAAAACCTGCGGACGTGAGATAGGAGAACGTCCCAGTTGCACCCCACAGCAGCTGTCGTCGATGTAGGAGTGCTTGTGGGATCGTCGCATCGTCTTCGTCCTCATCTCCTTCCGTCAAATCCTTGCTCTCCTCTGCTCCCGTTCTCGCGGTAGCCTCCAGCAGGCTCAAATTGAGCACGAGCCTCGAAGGAGAATCCTGATGCTGCCTTCTCCTGCCGGAGGCGGCGCTCGAAGAATTCAGCCCGCTCGCTGTCGATCGCGTCCTCTCCTCGGCTCTGCAACTCATTGTTCCTTGCACCGTCCGTGCTGTCACTTGATTCCCTTGACCCTTGAGACCTCGAGGATTCGGAGACAGCCATGAAACACCGGACGGCGTTGCTGCAGCCGCCATCTTGTTCCAAAACGCAAAGCGATGTTTACAGCCTCGAGGTCGAGTTTACCTGCAGGCCGAGCAAGTTGAGAAATCTGATTACACGTTCTAAAATCACTACGCTGACTTGTGAGATTACTATTGTCCATTCTCCTGTAAGTATCAGGTGGAATTTAGTGCTGGAACTCCACTGTGCCTAGAAATTAAATTCTTCGGAGCACAAGTACAGAAACACGACGGAGATATTCTGTCGTTCTGATCAGCTTCTGATGAGGGGCTATTTCTGACAAATGGAAACCGGACGACACGGGGGACTTTGATGTGCATGAGAGTGGTGGAAACATGTCACAGTTTGTTGCATGCACTCTTCTCCTGATCCACATTCGTACTGTTGGAAAGTGCTACCTCCTCGTTCGCACTTCCCTGATCTATACTACTGTCACACGTAGGCTGCAATCAGTGGCAGAGATAATGTCCATGATTCACTGTTTGATCGTTATCATTACGTAGCTAAAGGCTATCACATTGTCAACGATGGCAGCAATATGGAAATGACATGAACTCATGCAAGAGAAGAGACGATAAGTCTGATAAGTATCACAAGCATACGAGATCGTCATTCAGAACGTAAGCAAAGCACTGGATGACAACAGACAGATAGCAGGTGAAAGTACAAGCGGCTGGAAGTGTATTACAAACCAAGTCAGATCTATGGCTCAGGTCTCCTTTGTCAAAAACCTCTCGTCGATTTGCAGAAACTTTTCAGAGTACCTGGTCTCCTTCTCGTGGATACACCACTGGCCGATATGTTAGATCGGATTGAAGTTCTCATGTAGGAAGCCACCATATATACAGGCGGGACATGAGGTATATTTTGATTAAATTTACAGTAGATACATCGTTCTAAAGAAGGGCACGAGAAGCATGAGACCGAGAATATTAGGGAGATCTTTTGTTTCGCATACCATTGTCTTGTAAGACAGGCCATGTGGGTAGATTGATATCACAGGCTCCATGATGTGAACTGTCCTGTAAATTACTGGGCTGATCCATAAGCGCCCTCAGATGAACCTCCATACTGCAATCGAATTCTGAACCTTGCATTCAATCTCGTTAGATCTGACCAATTAATGCACCACACGATGCATGATTCCCCTTCCTTCCTTCCAGATACATGCTCCCACAATTCCTACTGTTTCAAGAGCTCTAGCGGACGAACCATGACGTGCGCTGTATGAGAGTGAATCACTGTATGCGGTATGAAAATTATTTGGATATTCAAAGTATATACTTCAATTATGTCTTCGCGTAGGCATCCAGCCACCTCTTCACGCATGGCGAAGATAGGAACTACCATTCATTCATCTGTACACTAATGGCACTCAGTTCCGATCATAGACAAGTGCACAGTTGCAAAACATTCGAACAAATAAACTGGACCTCAATCACGGAAGATTACATGTAGGGGCATTGTTATAAAGGTGGTGAAAATTTTTTTGTGTTTCCTAAGGAGTTCAACAATTCGGTAGCAAAATTTTGTACAAAATGTTCTTAAAAATATGTTTTGTGTTGTCAGCTCCATCCATGCTCCAAATCATTAATTCTGGCTTTCGGCTGGGTTGCTTCAGCCCTTATGATGGAGAGGACACAGCTTTTGTTATCTCCTTGCAAACTCGACAGCGTTCTTATTTACAGCGATCTTTACATCCTCATCTCAAGCCCAACGGACAATACATTATCTCGCCATGAGAATTTAAATGCGCTCGCTCGTTGTTGGACGCGCTGGTGTCGAGATAATAAGGGCTTCACTTCGGTGTACCTACAGTCCACAGGGCTCCTCCAAGTGGCAGGATTCTAGAGTTTCAGAGTCGGTCATAGATAGTCAAAGCCTGTTAATTGATTAATTGGTCTCGTCCAGAAGCGGATGCCGAGGAGGAAGAGGATAACGACTCTCAGAGATACTTGTCAATCTTCTGAGCGGAAATGTACGAAAGTCTAATTTACTGTCTTTGCCACGTCTGTCTGTTCCTGTACCGATTATGGGATGAAACTCTGGCAGTACTGTACTCCTTTTGTTGCACGCGAAGAAGCTCGAACATTGCGAAAAGTAGAAGATTAAACTAAGGAGGATTAAGTAATTTAGCAAATTTGATGGGAAGGTCCCATGAAGCGTTATAAGCATCAAATCAAACAAGTGACACGGGACTAGTCCCCATAGTAACATATTGTAAAATATTTTTGCTAATGTAACTAAAAACACCCAAATTGTATAATTCGACGGGATGCAAAAAAAATAACAAAATTCTGCATACCAATAAGAATAATATAATGTGATGAGTTTTCTACTCGCTGCTAAAGATATGAAAAGTTTCAGCAAAGGTTAGCAACATTTTGTAAAACATGCACGTTACATGCAATGGCAAACACAACATGCCATTAGGGATGAATGATGATAACTTGTACTCTATAATCCAAAATATATAATCTCCTCATTTGAACAAATATTACGTTTTCAATTGCAGGGCTTATGAAAATTAACATGTGTGACAAAAGTTTACATGTAAGTAAGAATTAATAAGATTCAAAACCTTCAATGCATTATAGAGCTACAGGAATGCATCTTTGCTTACTTAGCTGGATCAACTCATAGTGATATTCAAACGTTTTGAAATTTTTTGTTGAAGGAGATACAATATAGACTTCTTAATATCTAGTCTAATCACCGAAGACATGAATAGTGAGTACAAAGATGGGAAATCATGGTGTAACTCTTGAGGTAAAGCACCTCTAAGATGTTCAATATTACATGCAAAGATATATGATTGTATGCATACTCTCTCCATTCATCTAAATATGTTCTCATTAATGATGAGATTTTATACTATAAGAAAAGTGTCTATAATATTGATTTAAAAATTAGAGGTTTTTTTAATAAAAATAGATCATAAATTTTTTAAATTTAATTTATTGAGTTATGCAATAATCTAAATGCACGAATTTAATTTATTTCTAATTTTTAAGTCTGATCAAAAAATAGTAGTTATACATATTATGACAAAAAATTCAAAAACCTCTATTGAAGAAAAAAATTTGAATAATAAATTTGCGCATTAAAATATATGCTGAATGTCATGACCAAGTTATTCATACAAAAGTCAAGAGATAACTATTAATTCATACTAAATACTAATATATTTTTTAAAACACTGGGATCTAGTGATAATTTGTAAAACCTAAACTGAGATTAGATTTTATAATTTTTTTATTTCAAAAATTAGATTAAATTTCTTTATATTGAACAAATAGAATTATCCAATTTTTCCTCATGCTGTGATGATCATGTGAAAATAATTTATCTTTAATGTTTCTAAAAGATGTTTGATCATTTACAAGCTCATTTAATCATGAAATAACTTGTAAGATGAATAATCAATCCTGCATTGTTTGATTAATAAATATTATCTCTACAACATGTAACCTGTGATTATTCTGAACACATTAAATTTTAAACACAAATTCTTTTCACTGGAACAAAAAATGTACTATTTAAATATTATGAGTTTTCAAAATTAAAAATTGAATGTTAGTCTTTGACGTGTCTTATATAATCTGATGTAATTTTGCATATTTCATTCCATTGTTTAAAAAAAAAATTACTGTCAAACTATAAATAATAGTGAGAAATAAAATATACATGTTAATATCTTAACCATCCATAAAAAGAAAATTTATCATCAATTTTATTCAATATAAATTAATATTTCAATCACTGAACGGGTAAAAATGTCAGGACTACAGTTTTAATTTTTTCAATTTTAGTTCTAATTGTAAGAAAATTTTAATACATCTAAGTGTAATTTTTTGAAATATATAACCATTTTGAAATTTACACTTTCTAATATCTATTATTTCAACAAATCTAAAATTTAATAGTAAATATTTAGAAGTCCAATAATGCTCAAAGTCTAAATTCATGCTTTAGTTAAAATGTAAGATCATAAAAAAAAATTGAATTTTCAAGTGATAATATCTGGATCCAAGTTGATCTAATGTTTTATATGAATATTGAATATTTATTCAATATGTTATATATAAATAATAAAAAATTTAAATTCTAAATATTTAAATTAAATTATGATAGAAATTTTGAAATAAAATCATCAACTAAAATAATATTGTGTGGAGATTTTTAATATTTGATTATCTACACTATTTTGCTAGGATAAAAACCATTCATGATCTGGAAATTTTTTGGCTAAAATTTACCAACATCATCATTTATTTTTTAACAGATGTAAAAGTGGCTAGTATGTTTCATACCTTTCATAGAAGTTGTTTTGCTCCTTGTCAATATTGGATTATAACTGCCTTAACTGTAGCATAAAAGCAAAGTAGACATTGAAAAAAAAAATTGCAGACTCTTTCAATTGTTATAATTAATTTCTATATACATTTAAAATGATTCAAAAATACTTATAATATATATGAATTTTCCGATACAGGAAAGCCGTTTCTTCAAATCTTTGCATGTTATATGCATTTTTTTTTTCTGTTTCAGATCTCTTATTTACTTTAATATTTTCTTCATGTGATTTCATATTTCTTTTAATAATTTATAATAAAAAAATTAAAAATCTTGATTATTTATCTACTTTTGATTGTTAAACGTAGAGATTTAAGCTATATTTTATCATTTTAATTCCTCTTTTGCACTCAAAATCAAATTTAAGTTATCAAAAAATAAAATTTGCAGGATTTTGATAAAAAAACTATATATGAATCTCAAATGCGTCTGAACCAAACAAAAGTCCACAAGTCTTCAACAGTGAATTGTACAAAGTGGGTGACATGAACCTCAATTACGAAAAAATATTATGAGTTTAGGTTTCCTAAACTCATAATATTCTCGAGGTGATTATTTCTCGAGAATCATAGTGCACAGTGGTGGTCAAGCTGCAATAACAGTTTGAATCAGATCAGATTGAGACCAAATCACGAGGTTGTCAATTGTGTCTTCGGAAATGAAGATTATATGTGGAGTCCGATCATTCTGTTACTTTATCCCTGTCTTTTTGGATTAGTGACAAATTCAAGACTAACAAACATCTTTCATTCAACAACAGAGAGATAGAGAAGACTCTTAGTAAAGTTGGAGTTCCTGTCAGCGATTGAAACGGGCATATCAGAGCCCAACATTGGGTGCCTACAACAAGTTACTACACGGTAGACGTATTGAATGTTTCTGAAGCAAGTGAGTTGGCTGGTACTGAGCTCAGTTGACGGTGGCAGAGTACCTCTCTACTTTCACAAATCCAAAGTTCATAAACGACGTGAAGATGATCGCCACAGTTTTGAATCGTCTATTACCCGCATATTCTAGACAGTTGCGGTGTCCCTTCGCTCCATGTACTGTCTCTGTAATAGCCAAATAATCCATAACGCCAAGTCACCAAAAAGGTGGATTTGTTCTTCCTTGTCTAAATCATTTCCGGTGCTTCTGTCTGAATTGTAGTCTAGATTTACCCTTGCCTGAAAACGAAAGGTAAAATCAACATTGGGCATCCAATCATATTTCACTGGAGCAAGGTATCCAATATGACGATTTAGCTACATCTTTTGAAGAAAGCCGGGAGGCTAGAAATTCTGTTGCAACTTTCTTCCCTGCTCCAATGTGGCTGCCGGTGCAATTGCGAGCAGGAAGTTCGAGACATAAGCTTCACGTTAACAATACCACTTTTACCTGCAGTGGGTAATCGCAAAATAGACCCTACCCTGTCTTTAGACGTGTATGTTTCCCAACATCCACTTTCTCAGCTCCGGGCCCTTGTCTACAAACAAATCAGTGTAGATGAACTGTAGCGGGGTAAGTGTGAACAATAAGTGATGACGGTTGACTTCCTGCAATGTACTGAAGTGGGCAGTACTGAAGAAGAGATTTGCTCAAAAGGTTTGTAGTCGAAACTACCAACCTTTCTCTAATCTTCACCACATTTTTGTGTTTTGACTGTCTGGGAGTATATGGCGGACCGAATGATTTTGTTCAATTCGCAAAGCCGAAATGAATGAACGTGAAGACACAAAAAGCATGCTGAGTTGGTGTTCCTTTCATGACAGACTATTCACCAGTTCAAACCTAGCCACATCATCAATCTTGCCACCAGGAACAAGGTCTGCTACCGTTTCTGCAAATCTGCACCATCATGCCAGGCACGCCCGATTCCAAAACAGTTCCGAGTATCAGCGAGGAGAATGTCTCAAAATGAGTTCTATGGAAGACTTTCTCGTACCTGATTTCAGCTTTACCACATAGAAGAATTTATGGACTTCTATTACTGCAGCCTCAAGATCACATATATAAGAAGTGAAACGAGTATTACTTCTTGACCCTCTTTCTCACAAACTCCGCAAAATCATCAACGCAACACTACCGTGTCTCTCCAATCACAGGCCAATCATTTCACCCACGAGGTTTGCACGGCCGAATTCCTCTTGTCAAGAGCTTCAGCTCGAAGAGTGCACAACAAGTGTTACGAAGGCCAGGTGAGGAAAGCCGACGCCAGCACATCTTGAACACTGCATGTGGTAGGAACATGCAGTGTTCAAAATTGCGCTGTGTTTGAACAAGGCTTTTAACTGTACAAAATAACATAACATAATCTTTATTCCTGTTCATTCTACAGTTGTTGAACCGTCATTATTCAGAGCAATGACATAACAATCATTCTGGGAGATGTATCGAAATTCAAGGCTGACCAACCAACGTGTAAGTGAAGGTATTTCATCATGGTGAGACTTGCAACAAGCCACACTTGAACGGTTGTCCTCAAATTGTAATTATGGTATTTCAGAAACATAACTGCGCGATTGATATGATTGCAAAGATTATAAAAGACATGTAAAAGTGAAAAAAACTCCAAGGAAGATTTTGCACAGGTTCATATTGCATGAGTGTCTGAACTTATACGGGTCATTTTCATAATGACATTCTAACATTTTCAAATTCCTAATATGTCAAAATGCCAGAACTAATACCTTTATTCATGCATTCCTCGCACACCCATGCATGCCCACCTAATTCTAGACTCACATATTTCACCTGATACAACTTGAAAATTGCCGAATAGCTATCTTGAAGCTGGGGCGCAAGAGTTTGCTGAATCCTCAACCATGCTACTTTCAGCTCTTTACTTTCCCCACCTTTTAGAGCTGCCCTACGATCACGATCGCTAATGCCATCTAGTTTAACAATATCAGATTTTAAATCTCCCCAGTCCGGAATCGCTTGGCCTAATCCGAGAGTTTTCTCCAGTCCAGCCTTTGCAGCATAATACATGACTTTGAATGAGATTTCAATAGTTTTTCGAATCCACTGGCAATTTTCCCTATCCAAGCGTATCTTCAAACCTTCTTGATCTTTGACGTGGTGAAACCCAGTCGCAGATTCACACATCAAGTGTAAGCGAACGGTTGTTCCAACATGCAAAAGAGCACTCATCCTATAGAAAAGACCAACATCGTTCGTAACGTAAGGTCGCTTGGGAGTTTTCGCTTGCTGAAGCGAATAAGAATACAAAATGAACCTGTCTAGTTTAGACATGAAGTCACTCAACTTTGACTGCAGTTCTTGTTGCAAAGAGAGTATCTGTCCCGTCTTCATCTCCAATCTCTGCAAAATGCTCTGCACTGATCTCAACCTCTCATCAACACCATCAACCTTTTGACCTACACCATCAATCTTTTGTTCTAGATTTTTTTCTACCTGATCCATCCTTTCCAAAAGAATTAGGTCTGCAGGATTCTCCACACTTGTGCTCGCCCGACTTAAGCATCTGGATGAAGGTCGATTGGAATCTATCATGTCTGAAAAATTTGAACTGATAACCAAGTTCTCATTTTCAGGGTAAGTATGAATCAAATCATTGTTCACTTTGATTAAACCTTGCTGCAAGTACTCCAATTGTTTGATAAGGGTGTGCTGCAATGACTCCAATCGTTGCATTTGCTTCTCTCGGATCTCATTCACAACCGCTTCCACATCGCTCTCCCACAACAAGTCCCTAGCTCTTTCGAATATAACCTGTGCTATGTATCCTTCAATCAAGGGCCAAGAGTGTTCATAGTTGAACAACTCTTCCTCCTTCTCCAACTGGATCTTATCCAAAGGAAGATCCTCAAGTTTGTCTTTGATGCTACGAATGAATTTCAATTTGAGCTCCTCGATGAGAATCGCCCCTCTCAGATGACTCGGAATCAGCATCTCCACGCTAAGTGTTTGGATAACACCGAGTACAAACGCCACTCCAGGACAGCCTTTGGGTGATGCGCAAAATGATATCAACTCCTGGACGATATGCTTCATTACGTATTTCAGAGCCCCCTCCCTTGACTTATGCTTGGAGCATAACATCAGAACATCCACATATTTATGGGACTTTCCTTGCTGGACATAAATCTGATGTCCATCAAGGAAAAGTCGCAGATAATGTCGAGAGCAAGTCACCATCTCCTTGGAAACATGCATCTCCGATATCAACTTGCGTCTGATAAACATCTGCAATGATATAACATTTGGATAATTTTGAGTTGCGCATTCCAAGAATTGAATTCAACTTATGAAAAAGAAACATTCCATTCATCAAACACAAGTTACATTCACTTTTCTCACAGTATATATGAAATCACCTGGAAGCTTGGAAAAAAAGCAGCGGTCAATGACATTGTTCTCCCATCTTGACATTGAATTCGGATGCCGACAAACTGTGAAGTCTCACCCCTAGTTTCCCAAGACATCGACTCCAGCTGCGTTCTTTGATGCTTCTGTTCTTCCATGCTTGCATGCTCACGTATGAAAGAGGGAATGAAATACTGAGAAGTATCTTCTAGCTTGAAACACAAATCCAAATTGATAAGGATGTTTTCAAGCACCTCTCTGTCCACACCTCTCTCTTCATGTGGTTGCTTAAGCAAAAATTCCTCTATCAACTGAACAAAGACACTCTCACTCACAAATCCGTCCTTGCTTGTGTATGAGTCCCGTGACATTGCTTTGTCTAAAGATCCCAACTCTTGAGCTTGAAAGTTTTGACCTAGAGCTACTAGCTCACCCAATAATGTATTTGTGAGCCAATTCGGATCCACAATGATGTAATCAAGATTGGAGATATAAACAATGGATCCAATGTCATTCAAATAAGATATGATTGATGTCAATATCTTTGAATGATCACCGGCGTGAGTAGAAGAGGATGGAATGAATTCTGTTAAGCTGGGGGCACAGAAGTCATGAAACTTTTGAGATGACCAAAGAGGGCAACTTTTGTTCTCCTTGGTGTTTGTAACTAAGAGAGATGAGATTTGAGAACACAAGTGGGGAACACGTGGAGATTTTTCACTTAGCAACTTTTTGAAGATATCACAAATGTGATTTTTGAGAGGAAGAACTTGCTTTTTCTTCCGAGCATCTACATGAAAGCACTTTTGCATAGGATGGAGATCCACAAATTTTGCAAATTTTTTGGTGAGTTTGTCCATTATGGAATGAACCCAACTCAAAGAATTGGATCTGACTTTATCCTTGTGTGAAATCACAACAAGAACTTGTGGCCGAATATGTCCGGTGACCCTAGTGCTGGATGAGATGAAACTCAACCATTCCTCCAACTCAATTTGAAAACAAGACTCTGGTTTGTTGAAAGATGATTTCTCACAGAAATGACTATACACAAATAGAAAAACACAAAAGTTGCTGGTTTGAGGGAAGAGAACATTTTGGAGGGTTCGGAAAATTTCTTGTCCGGCTAGATCCCAAATTGAAATTTGCCCTTGGTCATTGTTTTGCAAGAACTCTACTTCTATGCCTTTAGTTCTCCACAATTGGTTCCATTTGTTCCCGAGCCAACTTTTGCCTTGAACTATCCTCATCAAGGTTTGACGCAATTTGGTCTTGCCTATATAATAAACACAATCACAACAAATACTATTTCTTAGTTGAGATATCATATTGTTTAATCATATCGTATAGATAAATCTATTAACTACATTGAGTTTCTGGAAAATTTGAGAACAATTGCGAATTTCACATCAAAAATCGTATTTATTAAGTAATCTTATCTGTAATCTGAAAGAATTCGGATGTTATTTCTTTTTTCTCAAATCTTTCAAAAAAAATTGCGGCAATTCAAAATACATCTAGATAAAAAATAATATCTATGGCTATGTTCTTATTTTTTTAGAAGTTAAACCTTAAATTGCTAGTTTACATACAAAGAGAAAAAACTGAGAACCTACAAAGCACCTTACCTGCTCTAGGAGAGCCGCATAGAAAGAGTCGACCAGCTTTTGCATCTCCAAATGCTAACTTGGATTCTCTGAATACGGACATGTATTGGGCGCGCCCGCGGTTCTGCTTTAGGGCCTCTTGAATCTGCGCCGCCTTCCCGTCCCTTGCCCATGAGGTTCGTTGGACATCTATTTCCTGGAGAGCCAAGTTGACTTGCAATAGCCCCATCAGGTCTCTGAACTCCTCTTCGTCGATTTCAGACCCAGTCAGATCCAAGTGAGTGAGACTTGTGTTCTCTCGCAAACACCAAAGCAGGTCCTTCCATACTGCCTTCCAAAGACCTTTGCTTTCAACATTTAATGCCAGTCTCTTCAGGACGGAGGTTTCTCCACTTTTTCCATTCATCGACAAGATACTTTCCATTCTATATTGGCTTGTACCTGAAGTGAGAAGATTAATCGACCGTATTCTGAAAGATTGTAGGGAGTTGATTTCCCCGCGCAGTACCCTACCTAATAGGTTTAATGATAACATCAACTCATGATCACTGTGAGTTGAGAGATGAAGCTCTAACGTGGGGTCCTGGACATAGGAGCTAGCAGCACACGCAAGAGCTTCTATTGACTCCCAGCTATCTCTAAGAATTTGTTGCAAACCAAACTCAACTATAATGATTGTTGCTCCATCCTTGTCACGTATGACTTGGCCGAGCTGGTGCCATTCCTCAGGACGCATCTCCAAGGACGTCAACGTCACTTCCTTCAATGACGGGTTGGAAGTAAGAAGTTCCCATGAACGGTCTCCGAGTCTATCCATACGCTCCAGCCGAACACGTTCAATTGATCGGTTGCTGTCATCTCCGGCCAAAGCGTTCAGCAACAACGCCTCCCCCCAGTCCATCCACACTAAGTCCAATTGTTTCAAAGACGAGCTCTGGATCAAAGCTCGGGACAGGATTCCAACGGTCTCCTCCTCCATGTCGTCTATATAGCCTATCCTCAGCGTTTCTAATCGAGTAGCACTGTTGATCATGTCGGCCACATGCTTCACCGCACTCGAGTCCTCCCACGCGCTATGTAAATCTAAGGACTGGAGTTTAGAATCGGGATTTCCTCGCAGTCCTGAGGCGAGATTCAAGAAACATCTAGAACTCAAACTGGTAAATTCTATTTTCAGTACTCGTACGCTAGAGGTATTCAGAATTCTCCCTATCTGTAAACACAAGCTCTCCAATTCCTCATCTGAACTCCATTCCAAAAAACTAACGACTATCTCTCGTATAACGGTGCTAGACCTGAATCCTTTCAGAACTAACTCCCATTCGCAAGCGTTCAACGTCGATATATCTCCTCCACATATGAGTGAGAAGTTAAGATACTCAAGGGTGTTGCAGTTGCCGATTGCCTCCAGTACTCGAATGCGCACTTGGCGAATCCAAGTGCGCCTTCGAGCAGTGATCCTCGAGAGCGATGCAGGCTCTGGAAAGAAATCCCGAAATTCCTCCCCGGTTAATTGGGGAAGCCAACTTGTAGGCTTGCCTTCTCCTAGACGCCGTATAAGGTCCTGGACAGCGGACGGAAGCTCCGGTTCCTCGTCTGCAGAGTCCATTCCCCGTGTCTCGGCAGCGTGACTGACATTGGACGCACCTGCACCTTCCATTCTCTCCTCCACTCGCCCAGAGTAAGAAACGTTTGCGGCTGCTTGGTATGCGCGAGCGAAATGAAACCGGCCCTACAGGAATCCCTCCTCGATCCGCAGGCACAGCTCACCCAAAGAAAACTCAACCTCCCTTCGCACCGTAACCACTAGTGTATATTTGCTTGCTGGGCAAGAGGGTTCTTGCACTCTGCATGAATAGCGACACAAATATTAATCCAAGCTCTGCATTGAATCTGCAGGAATCAAGAACAATGAACACGAAAACAGGAAAATTATGCAAAGGGGAAGCAGTAGACTGCACGAACTAATAAACAGCACAGCAAGAGATGTGAATCAAAAATAACGGTGAGAACGAGTATTCTGGTTCCAAACGAAATCAGTAAACAGCACAGCAACAGATGTGAATCAAAAATAACGGTGAGAACGAGTATTCTGGTACCAAAGGAGATTTCAAGTCTCTCGAAAAATCAAACCTAGTGTGGAATCGAAGGGAGGAAGGTGTTTAATCAGCACGGGTAGCCCAAGTCTGCAGGAATCTTAAATTCAAAGGACTGGTTTGTAGCAATTGTGGTACAATATGTACGCAGAATGTCATAGAATACATGGAAGCGAAGATATCTCGGATGTGAGTTGTGTAAGACTGGATGTACAACTGTACTGAGAGAATGCTAATCTAGCTGCATCAAGACCCAAGGGAAGACAGACCCTACTATGGGTAGGGCGTGAAAAAAAACATGTAGCGTCTTCAATCAGATCTTGTCATCGAATCGTGTTAGCGATCGAGGTAACGACAGTATGCCAACACAACAAACGTGGTTCTCCGTAATCGGTGTGAGTGGAAAAATTTCTTAGACGGTGAGAGTAAATCTTGACTTTGTTGTGCCAGTGAGCGGGTCAGTGTGCTGATACACTCGTCACGCTGACTACGCATATCTCAAAAGTAGTCTTCATTGACTATTTTTTCCTGAAATCTCTCATCTATTCAAGCAAGTGGATGTATCCTGACAACTGAGAGGCACATGGGCAGTCAGCTCGGAGGACAAAGCCCGTTGTGATTTTTTCTTGCTTTGAAGATTGGTACAGTAGTCTACATTACTGTACATAACTCGTAGGTTCAGAACAAACTGATCAACTTTTTGGAAGTCTACCAAACATAAAATCGAAGAACTGTGTACAGAGTATACATAAACTCCACTTACCATTGGACTGGGAGAATGCCATTGTAGCTGCATCAAGACCCACTGGAAGACAGTCCCTAAGATGGGTAGTGCTTAGAAAGAATATGCAGCTTAATCATCAGATCTTCTCACTTAAACGTGTGGGTGATCGAGGTAACCACAACATACGAACACAACAAGCGAGTTACTCCATACTCGGTGTGACTGGAAAATGTTCTTAGAAGGTCAGAGTAAATATTGACTTTCTTGTGCAAGCTAACAGGATAATTGAGTAAATGCATCAGTGTTCTGATACATTCGATGTCATCACAAATACTTTTCCTGGAATCTGTGAACTATTCCAGCAAGTGGATGTATTCTGACAACTGAGAGGCACATGGGTGGTCAGCTCGGTGGACAAAGCCTCTTGTGCATTTTCCTTGCTTTGAAGATCGGTACAGTAGGCTACATTACTCTACACAAATCGTAGGTTGAGAACAAACTCAGCATCTTTTTTCGGAGTTTAGTAAACATAATGTCGAAGAACTCTGTACAGGGTATACGAATACTCGATGTTCTCAGCTGCTGGTATGATTGTTCTTCTACCTCAGCTGTCTGTGAGCGCATGCACACTTCTAATACAAGAGTCTGTAGGTCTTTCGACCCCAAACATTCAAATAAAATCAGATTTCGTCCGTGCTAAGAGAGCACTCCTGCTTGTTTATCACGTCGTATAAAACCCGATAGAATCAGCGTGATACACGCTAAGGTCAACGTCAATTCTCTCAAGATATAAGATTTTTGAACTTGCTTGCAAGTGAAAAAAAGCTGTGCTGTATACATGACTTGAAATATACTTCATATGCTAAATTTTAGATAACAATGAATCATGACTTCAGATGAAGATCTCGCTCAAAGTTTAAAGAATAAGACAAACTTTCATGGAAACTCAAATATTTGATATATATTAATTTCGATCGGGCTCGAGCTCACCCTCACATGTAAATAGTGTCCTGCCTGAAAGGCAACGCTGGAGGCCCTTTTCTTCGTGTCACTTCTCTAAAACTGTCGAGCAGAGCAAGAGCACGAGCTGCCACGAGAGTCCAGGGCAAAATTTTCGAGGCTGTACAATCGCTTATGCACCTGGTGGGTTTCCTTGCCCCTTCCTTCCTGGCTGGGTGAGTCGTCGGGCGAGGATCAGACACGCAATTGATCGGGATTTCGTTTTCAGTACTTCAGAGATTTCAACGCGCTCTAGTACGTCACCAGGCACGAAATTCTTCACCTCAATCACTGGAGCACTTACTGGTACACCAATTTCAATGCGATTCCAGAAAAGCGGTCCGCATTGTTCTCGTCTGTTTCATTCTCTGTCGATCTCAGTGGGAGTGGAGCCCACTTCAATAGTCAGCTTATCAAAAGCAAGTCGTACGTGTTTTCTTTGATGAACCGGCATGTGTGCTCAGATCCCCTGAACTTCTGTCGGCTGCTGAAGGTTCAAAGTAATTACTGGAAAATTCTAGACGCCAAGTCTGTAAGACAGAGAATATAATGTTTAACTGAGAGCAAGCAGATTCCACAAAAGCGCGTCACTTATGGATCTTACTTTCTATTTTCTAAATATTGATGAAATCAGAGGTAATAAATAATTTCTTCACCGGCTGAATATTTATTTCTGACCATCAGTTTTAATGTGCGGTGACACAATATTCTGGTGTTTGTATGAAAATTTGGTTGGATGGTCTTCCTCTGCCGTTTTTTTTTAAGATGTTTCGTTGTGTTTTGTGTTGTCAGTTCCGTCCATGCTCCATATCATTGGTCCTGGCATTCGGCTGGGTCGCCTCAGCTCTTATGATTGAGACGATAGAGCTTATGTTCTCTCCATGCAAACTTGACAGCGTCCTTATTATCAGCGATCTTTACATCGTCATCTCAAGCCCAAGACAATACATTATCTCGCCATGAGAATTTAGAGATCTTACGTGTCTCAAGATTATGAGGCAAGGAATCACCTCAAGCAAACTCTGACTTTCATGCACAAGAGAAAGTCTTTCGATGCTAGTGTATTCATGTGCGATTTCCAATGTTTTGATTGTTACGTCAAAGCAAGCAATTCTTTCATGTTGCCACATCTTCTCTCCATCGCTGACAGTTTCACCAGCCTCGTCGTCTCTTCTGTTCTCATTGCGTGGAATTTCTGCTTCCCGTTTTCATTGCTACCTTATGGCGCCACATCAAGTCTTCTTCTTCTGTGCACACCGAACATAAGTACAAGCACCTACTCTGTGCTCCTCCTGTTACTTCGAGAACAGTCGAACTAGTTGACAATATGTTTACCAATACCTCCAGAATCTGGTAAAAGCCCTCTTCAAAACAGGTGGAGAAGGAAAATTCTAACCACCTTTCTGCTTTCCAAGCAGGCGAGGGTTGATTACTGTGCAGTGGAAATTGCAGAATCTGGTGCAGAAGTGGATTTCTATTCGCAATCTGCTCTTGCGATGAATGATGACGAGTGTTTGACTATGGTTTACCTACCGTCCACAGGGCTCCCCTAGTGGCAGGGTTCTAGAGTCTCAGAGTCGGTCATAGTCAAAGCCAGTTAATTTACTAACTGGTCTAGTCCAGAAGCGGATGCCGAGGAGGAATATCATAACGACTGTCAGACTTTGACTTCCTGTCAATCTTCTGAACGACAATTTAGGAAAGTCTAAATCACTGTCTTTGCCACGTCTGTCTGTTCCTGTAGTGAGTATTGGATGAAACTCTGGCAGTACTGTCTTCCTTCAGTTGCGGTTGTTGCACGCGAAGAAACTCGACCATTGCTAAAATGAGAAGTTTAAACTAAGAAGGAGGACTAATCAGTTTAGCGAATTTAATGGGAAGGTCCCATCAAGCCTCATAAGCTTAAAATCAAACAAGCAACACGGGGCTAGTCCCCATATGACCATATAATATGGTCATATATTGTAAAAAAAAATTTGCTAACATAACTAACAAACCCAAATTGTATATTTCAACGGGATGCAAAAAATAAGTAAAGTGTGCATACCATTATGAATAATGTAGTGAAATAATTTTTCTACTTGCTGCTAAAGATATGAAGACTTTCAGTATAGGTTAGCAAAATTTTGTACAATAATTTCTTAAAAAATATGACCTTTCTTATACATATATGAAAATTTACGTCCATGATTTTACATAATTTGAAGTATTTGGGGAAAAAAGAGTTGATTTGCTTGCAAAAAATTCGTCTTGGATTAAATTTGTTACGCTGATTACATAAACCTGTGTCCCTCGGACCCGGACTACGCGCATGGCCTCCGATAAGAAAATAGTTCTCTACCAGGACGACTAAGAGCTCCAAAAAAATATAATTATTTGTCCATTGAGTTTCAATAGGAAAAAATGGCTTTCTTCTCATATATATAAAGAAAAAGCGACTGCGCATTGTAAAAATCTGATAATATATTCCGTAAGCTCGGTTCTACTCAAAAACGCTTTGTATGCAATGATTCATAAAGATATTATACTATTGAATGTAAAATCAAAGTAGCTCAAAATTTTTGAATTTTATGTTTTGTTGAGCTATTTAATATCTAGGCTTTCAAAAACAAGAACAAAAAGGTTCAAATCTATGTCACATCTACTGTTACAAATTGATTCAATGGTATAGTTAAAAATCATCTCGAACCAAAAGTTGTCAACAAGTGATGAGCAACATCAGAAGAAGATATCTCAAATTCCACATGAGGATTTACAAGTAGACTTAGTTTGTTTCTGTGCAATATCAGTGCATCTATGAGATATTTAGCACGAAACAAGAATTCTTTGATCCATTTGAATATCCTTTAATTCCTATACCGGTTGTAGATTCCCTGGAAATTTGAGACGATCACAAGTGTTCTTAGAAAAAGTTCTTTATATTGACACCTTGATTCTCAAGATCACAAGATGGATTTTAGTAATTAAATAATTAAATTTATTAATATATTCTATATGGTTCACAAAGTAAAAGTAAATCGTTAGGAATATAGATAAGCAACCAGGCAAGCTAAAAACATTATTAAAAAATAGATATAGTTTTATAGTATTGGCAAGTAAAGATTCCAACACTTGAATTGAATATGTTGAAAATAATTTGCAAAGCCTCAAAAATGCATCTTCATCGCACACTTTCGAACGGCTGAATTCTAAATGTTGCGGATCTGAATGATTGATTCAGGCTCAAACTTATATTTAATGAAGCCAATATGGAGTTGCAAAGGTGCTAGTTTACATCTCTGACATTCAGAAGATGAATAATCATTTAGTCACCTTTGTGGAATCTTAAAGCAGTGTAGACAGGACATTGAAAGATCTTCCGTAATTTCCATTTCACCTTCTTTCATTGAGATAATTACGCAGATGAAGATAAGACGGCCGTTGTGGTAACCCGCTTTTTGTTTTTGTGCGGAATTTAAAACAAATTTTGGAAAACAATACCGCAGCAGCCGTGTAAATGGT